GTGGATTTTGTGAGAAATATATATATATATATATATATATATATATATATGCAGTTTTCAATTTACAGCTTTTGTAATTGTTTTGTTTATAATGTTTCTGGAAATAAGTTGAATAATGATAATAATAATTGTAGGAAAGTGGGATTTTTACAACCCAACATCTCCTCCAATCATAGAATGTCGTAGCAGCAGCTTTGGAGGTTCACTGAAAAATAACACCACCCTCCACAATGAAATCGTATCATGATGATGGATCATGTATATATATATATATATATATATATCCATGTGGCTATTATTTTAATTGCTTATTGGATCTCATTATAATCAGCACTAATTAATTGTACATTGCTGTTATAATAATTAATTATGGGCATGGATCAAAAATAGCAAAAATCATTAAAAGATGATTTATTCAGTGAAGGGAATGATACATTATCATATTCATATATTTATGAATGCATGCACATAATCATTCGGGTCCAAAGAGGTTAACATGATTAACACAACATTTAACCACTTAATTTTGCAAAACATGAATTTATGATTAGTGCAAGAAACTACACGATGAACGATATTTACATCTTTAGGACTTCCATACAGAGAAATTAAAGTGTGGGACTAGGGGTCATTGCATTAAAAGCAACGATTCTTCGCTTTTCTCTTTCAGATTTCGAATCTCTCTCTCTCCCTCTCTCTCCATCTACAAGACTCATGTTACTTCATCCTGCCACCAAAAGCGAGAGAGAGAGAGAGAGAGAGAGAGAGAGTCATGAACCAATAAAGAATGAGAGAGATGAGAAGAAAATAAAGAGAGAAAGAAACATATATGCGTAACCCATTCTCTCTCTCTCTCTCTCTCTCACGTTGTTCTTCTTGATCCGAAGCTGTCTCTCCAAGACTCTCTCTCTCTCTCTTGTTCTGTTTCATGCAAGATTCAAAGACATTACAGAAGAAAAGGTACGCAATGCATGCAGTTTCTTCGACCAGTGCTGTCAATCTTTGATATTTCTTTCTTCTATACTCGTTTTCGTTGTAGGAAATACTTAGAGAATATATCTTAGTATTGATTTCTCTTCTCTTGTTTTTTTTTTTTGTTTTTTTTGTTTTTTTTTTGGGTCTTGGGGGTCGAATATTCATTTTTCCAATATGCTTGCTTGTGCCTTGGGGGCACAATTGGCGCGGATTTAGTGTAATTTTTTCCCCCATAATTCTGATGATATATTCCCAATTATGCATACCCAATTGATGCTTTTGAAACCTATAAGACTAAGTTCCACGTGGCATCTGATGAAATCAGTGATATGGACTTTACGGCTTCGTGAACGATATTTGTGTTTTTCATTGATTATACCAATATACACACACACACACACGTACATACAACAGAAGAATTTTAGTCCAATTAAAAAATTATATTTTTTTTATAATATATGACGAGTGATAATTAAACCGGTCCGATTTGTTTGGGCTAAAACCGGGCTTATTATGGAAGTCCGCGTTCAATGTGAAAGATTCAATGAAATCCACTGATATATCCAAGCACGAGAGTTGTCATATCCTAAAATCGGGGAGAATCGCATATTCTAATCATATAGTTTATTCTTAATATTAAAATTCATTTACAAGAAGTGTTAAAATTCAGACAGAATCTAAGAGTAGTTTCGTTAGTTGTTCTCTGACACCTGTCCATAAATCGGCTCTGTTTAAAAGCTTGAAAAACTGATCTCATGGAATCAGACGAACTTGGTTAAGTTCTAATCAGAATTTTAATCACGATTATCATCCCGTTAATAACCCCTCCTCTCTCACCATTCCAATGTCTATAAAAACATGAGAATTTTTAGTAATTATTATTATTGCTCGCAGAAAACCTTGGTACCAGAGAGCAATGGAGATGGCGACGCTATGGCGAATTTCCATCCCCAAATTCGAATCCCCAGACATTCCAACTCCAACGAACCCTAGCAACAAGACAAGGCATCGCCATCAGCAGCAGCTTAGGAAATGCACGTCGCTGAAAGTGGCGGCGTCGTTCACTAGGGTTTGCCTCTGCGCTCCGATCTCCCCGTACGACGACGTTTTCCGGTCGTACGCGCCGCCGCGTCGGAGCTCGAGTTATCCGCCGTCGAAGCCGATACAGGCGGCGGGGACGAGGAGCGGGAGGCTGAGCGCGGACACCGGGAGGAGAATATTCCGGGGGAAATCGTTGACGGAGAACGCGTTGATGAGGAGATTCGTGGTGGAGGAAGAGGCGATGATGCAAATCCGGCGAAGAAATATGGTGGAGGTCGTTAGGAGAAGGAATCAGATGAGGAGGAATAAGCTCGGGCCCAGCCCTCTTTCTCGCATGGTTCTCGCTGAAGATCTCGAGGTCCATCAATGGTGATTTTTATTATTAACACACCAAACAAAAAAAGAAAATCTGAACCTCCCCC